CATGCCAGAAATCAACAGTACATGTGGACAACAGTAATTTTTTTAATTTTAAGACCCGGTAAAGAAATGAAACACTCAAATTCAAAAGTCTATAATAATGTATGAAGAGTGACTTATTGATAAGCCTTCAAGTGTGACTCATTATTTTACAGTTTTTGCAAGGATTAAACCTCAGTGTGCTGATAAATTGTGTTTGGCTGTGTGTAACAGTGAATGAACTATAGGTGTTCTTTGTAATCACTGTGATATTTATTAAGAATTATTGTAATTTGTATTTTTTTACTAATTGTATTTAGCATTAACTGTTTTATTGAGATTTTAGTTAAGCTCAGAGAATATTCCACAGTGTGAATAAACTTCAACACATTGGAAATTATGTATGTGTAATTCATTATTTAAAGTTTTTTCATCTGTTGTGAGGATGTCTTTTTTGTATACTTGCCACAGTTCATCTGGCTCTGTTCCAAGTGTGAATGACTCGAGTTCATGTCTGCAGCAAGACTGAGTATACAATATGAAGGAAATTTTGCAGTTCCTTGACCACAACTAAACTGTAATTTAATCAACTATGCCAAGTACCCTGAGAGCTATACTAGCGGTAGCGTAGTTACTGGCAGGGCCTCCCTTGCTGGACAGGTCAAAGGGTAGGCATCAGATGAAGAGAAACACCAAAAACCAAAAACTGATGCAGGAAGCAGTGTCATCAGCAGTGACTTGAAGCACAGAGCAAATGATGCTCGAGATGGTTCAAGTTCGTGTAGCAACAGGCATGACCAGTAAGGTTTGAACGGCTGTTGTACTGCGATGTGGAAAGCAAATGGAAAAACTACCACATCAATTTTCCTGGATAGTCTCTTTCCAAAAACAGGGATACCATGTATGTGACCAGAAGACGAAAAAGACGTAAGAAGATGCTGGATGACCTTGGGGACAGAAGAGGATATTTTTATTTGAAGGAGAAAGCTCTAGATCGCATTAAGTGGAGGAACTGTTTTGGAAGAGACTGTGGACCTGTCGTATGACAGATTACTGATGAAAACTGAAATGATAACTAGATACAAATATTAAGTTTCTTTGCAAATTATCTGACTGATTTCTTTGTATGGTTTAGTGTTAGAGCACCGTAATGACCTATCTAATGCACCAGTACATAAAACTGAAATTCATCTTACAATGTTTTGACATGTATCTCAGCGGGTGCTGTTTATGCTAACAGTTGATAAGCAATATTGTCACACTCACTTCACTTTTGAACTGTCTTTAAATGTTCTCATAGAGGACCATCTCTGTAAGCAGAACAGCTTAGCACCCACCCAAACCAACTATAGAAATTTCAGTCCTACATATTTTTTTCACATCTTTATTGTATCTGGGAGTACAGTATGTTTTTATTTTGGCACCACAAGCCAGTCATTGTGAGCTTCTTTATGTAACATGTTCATTGCCTTGGATATCAAATAGAGGGGCACTGAAAATAGTGGTGGGCCATCTTAATATCTTGATGTTTGCATGGTGGAACCAAGGAAAGGCATGACAGCTGCTTGACTGGTGGGACATACTGGACACACAATACCAGGCTCCAATTGAAGGGAGAATAAATGCAAAAATGTTATAAACTTGAATGGAACAATACCAGAAGTATGTTGAGGTCTCCAGTAGTGTGTGAGCACCAACCCATCCACACACTAAGCTACTATACTATGAAGTGGGAGTCCTTGAGGTAATTTTCTCACATCAGCTGAAGTGACCATGGGATATGTTGGTGCAATAGGTATACACAATGCTACAGTACTCTTTCTAGCAACTGGAAGCAGCCCTATAGATGCCAATAGTTCCTCAGCTACTAGTGAAGTTTTTGAAGCCAAAGGTTTGTTACCATTTGAGCCACTTGAATGCAGTCCACCATTCAAGTCTAGTTTTTGAAATCATCATTGTCAAGTCTGTACCCAGGTCTTCCAAGAGGTATTTTCCCTTCTGGTTATCCAACAAATTGTATATACATGCTACCATGTATGCCGATGCCCATCTTATCCGTGATTTGATCCTGCCAGTATTTGGTTAGGAATATAAATTACGATTTTTTTCCGTCCTGCTATCACTTCCTCATGCTTAACTTCCCAATATTCCGAGCACTCTGTCTTTTGAGACACCTTAATTCTACTAGTATATTTTGTTCATCATGTGGATAGGAAGTTTTATATATCTATGCAAATTTCCAGGTAAGGTGCATTTTAATCCTTGGTAACTGGCAGATGGTAAGATAAAATGTGAAGTAAAATCTTAATTTCTTTGTGAATGCTTAGATTTGTTGCTGGCTTCTTAAAATAGTTGGACCTCACCGATTTAGTGAATATTATTTTTGGCCTCAGCTTAAATCCAATATAAATGTGTTAATTTGCCATATTTAGTAAATTTCATTTTTATAAATAACCTGCATTAGGTGTAAGAAATTTTCAACCTTTGTGAGCTTGTATCTTTATGTGATAGTGGTCAAAACAATATTGTTGCATATTATGTGTGACTGTAGATGGGGTGTGGATTGGTGAATGGACTTATTGACCACTTATACACACAACTCAGAACTACAGCATTTATAGATCCAATGCTGTTTGCAATCTGACCACTTCTGACATCAGTTTATAGATGGGCCTACTGAACACTTGTAACTCATAATACAAGTAATTCACTAGTCATTGCTTGATAACTGCTCTCAACAATGGAGATTCTTAAGCTCCTGTGCTCATGTCATTACTGTCCAGTGAATGGCCCACAACTGAACTATAGTGCCATCTCTACTCAGCCTCCCTTGCAGAATTCAACTCTCAACTAAATGGTTCACACCAGTTGTCTTCCTTATAACCCTTTTGCATGGACTGAGTAGAAAACAACCGTTTCCAATAGTATCTATTATTGCATGTGTATTCATTGGTGCAGAACGTGCTTACTGATCCGTTACCTAGAAATGGCCATTTTTTATTCACAGTCATTGCATAGCAACGGCTGTACATGTTACAACAAGACTGTGGTCTTCTGGGTTATGACACCATATAGTTTTACAGCCAGATATTCCTCTAAAGCAACATACCTAAATGAAATAACATTCAAGACGGAGGCAGCATGTTTCTCCAAAAATGTCACTCACTGCCTATGAGACTGATGTTGCAATCCAGAAGGCCACATCTTTAACAGTCACAACTCTGAAAACATCAGAACTTAGGTCCTCGTGTTTTTTTCTGCCAGAAAAAAAATAAATATGATGGTATTTTGTAATTTTATTTATTTGTGTAGAAATAGTTCAACTATTTACATGATGTAATTTTGCATATCCTTGATTTAGTGTGACAAAAGTCATTCTCCCAGAGATTTATATTTATTTACATTTTTTATTTTATACTGAAGTGTTCAACCCCTTTATCTCCTCCCCCCAAGCAAATTGCCTTTAACAGAATTCACTAGAAAGGGAAAATATGGCGATCAGCACAAAATGCATGTCAGTAGCACAGTTTAAGTACCTTAAATCTTTTAATTTACTTCCTGACCACATCCCCCAGAACTGAAGTCTTAAAATATTGCATACTTTTGAGCGCTCCAAGATTTATAATAATGTTCTATGGGTTATATGAAATTTAAGGCATATTGGATAGACCACAAAGCCAGTTTGAACATGGAAGTAAAGAGTGAAATCTTGTCTTCCTCATGCAACCATACTTCTTAACTCTGAACAGTAACTGCGGTAATGTAAGCTTGCTGGATCAACATGTCTTAAGTTTGTCAACGGGCATTTCTTGAGCAAAGCAAAAAGACCTCTGTAATTCACAAACTTCATCAATTTACATTTACATAACATGTTATCTTTCCTACCAAAAAACATACTTCCCATTTATCAAAATCAAGTCCATTAACTCCGAAATAAAGGTGGGACTCCTTTGCAGTGGTCTTCAAGTGCTCCACTTGTTCTGTGTGTGGTGCTTATTTTGCTTAGTGGGGGGGGGAGTCCAACCGGGTTCACTTGGTATGGTGGCCACTGATTGGCCTATTTACCTGCCCTGGGTTATTATGATGGAGAATTTGGTGGAATGGAAAGTGGCAGAGAAAACTCACCCCAGTGCCACTTTGTCCACCACAAATCCCACTTCACCAGACCCAGGTTAAACCTGGGCCGCCGTGGTGGGAAGCCAGCGACTAACTGCTTGAGCTATAGCACGGCCTTGTGCGTGGTGCTACTGAAACCATTGGCTCAAGATATATATGAAGAATACTACCCTTTGGGATGTGATGTCATGCAGTCTAGTGGATGTTTAGCAATGTTTTAGAACAATAGTAACCACAGCATTGACGGGTAAGCTAAGCAAGCAGAGTGCTTGCCATTTGTTTGGTTTACTCTTTGATGCTGAATATGGAGGCTGTACATTCTTGCAAAATGTCAACAAGACTGCAATGTGTGAGATGCCAGAAGATAGTACTGACAGTCTTCACCATGAGGACATCAGATCTCGGATCATGTTGTGAACTGAAATAATAAAAATGAAAGTTTCTGTTCCCAGTTTTTTAGCTCTCCAGTTTTAAACAAAAGTTTATTTCTCACAAATTTTTTTAATCATGAAGGATTTAACAAATAACATTACTGTTTTACATACTTCATACTAAATATAAGTTAATTACTGTAAAATAGTGCACCTACTGTTTGCACACATTAACACCATATTTAACAAGGATATGCTGGAAGCATTCTCAATAACTTTATTAGTAGTCACCAACTCAGAGCATATAAATGTTCATCTACTGTAAGAAAAAAACTGTGGCTTTAGTCCGCAAGTGAACTATACTGACCAAGTGACTGCTACTTGTCAGCAAAGTTAGTGCCAACTTTAGTGGAGAGAGTGTGTCACTGGTCAGCGCAATGAATTCCCATGGCTGTTAATTTCGGTTTTCTAGACCGGAGCTGCTATTTCCTTGAAACAGCTCAATTATCCTCATGAGGCTGAGTGGACCCCAATTCAGACCCACTACTCAGAAAATCTGGTAGCACCAGGAATTGAACCTGACCTCTGGATCACTAGACCACAGAGGCAGTCCATCTACTGCAGGATGTATCTACTAAACAGCTAAATAACCTAAAATATGGATTCTGTTCACCGTTTCCAGTATACATGGAAATGTATTCCACTATATATGCACTAAGCTGAAACCCATAAATAATATGGTATGAAAATGGACAAATACTATAGATCCTGTCAGTGTTAACTTCAAATGTCTGCACTCCCATGTATTTATGGCTTATTAATAGAAACAACACAAAGAGACAACTTACACATTGGTAAGATCATAAATGATCTGAAAAGCAAATGACTTTGAAGTTTTTTAAGGAAGATGAAGAGGCATAGTTTTGAAACAATGCAGAATTTACTAGACATGGAAGGTAATATCAACAATTGTGGATTCTAAGGGTTTCATAAATTGTATCAACAATACTAGACACTTCAGCCATAGCACCAAGTCCTGTGTCTCCACAGACAAGAGTTTTAGTAATGCATGGCACTTCTGTGTAGCCCCAGTTCTTCAATGTTGCAATCTGAGTGGCTGTCACTGGGTGCTCCCACATATGAGTGTTCATAGCTGGGCAGAATAACAATGGCTTCTTCATGTTCCATGCTCGTGCCACACAAGTCAGCAAGTTGTCACACAGCCCCTGGATTACAGAGCAGTCTTTATAACTGGCAATATTACATATACAGTAGAGAGTAAATCACAGTAGCCTAATTATACCTGCTAGTGAAATCCAATGGGGAGCAATGAAAGGGTCTTCCAGCTGTCCATAGTGAAAACTGTGTTAATGATAACCTGAGCTTCTTTTAAGGCAGTGAGCAATGAAATGGCATCTACACACCCTCTTGCTCATAAAATGGATAAGCAAAAATTATACGTTACTGAAACTGAGGAAATGTGGCTACATTGGGTCAACAAATTTAAATAACACAAAATAACTTTCCATTGTAACTAGGTTTATTGGTTTATTTTCTGTATAATTAATTTTAAAAGTATCATAAATTTGAAGTTTATACCTGGGCTAATTTTGCCAAAGTATTTGCATCAAGTGGTGAAACAATGAAAATATCTGCCCATTTTGCCAATTCAATGTGAAGTACAGGATCACCCCTTTTTGACCAAGCTGTCCACTCATCTTGATCACAATAAACCTGGACATCCTTCGGCAAGTCTGCAGAGGCATAGAAGTGCCTTGCATTCTGAGTCACAATAACTCGCACCTGTACATTCCAAGACAATGAACGCTGTGATCCTAGTATAGTTTTCAAAAGAACTGGCAACTTAATGGTTGCAACACTGCCTGTGCAGCCCACAAGAACATGTTTCTCATTATCACTACTAGAACTCTCCATGTTTTCCGCTTAAAGCTCACAAGTGACTGGACTATTACACTTCACTTCAAAACTATTATTTCGATTTTCCTGTGGTGTCCAGATCACCAAATCCAAGTTTGGACCATTCTTCTTTAGCCATCAATTGGTTACTCATCCGACAATCCAAATATGCCATTGCTTCTTCACGACATGCCGAGTTACTGTTCTTGTTTGTTTTTAAGCATATCATGTACTTTATCATTGCCTTCTTGCATTGACCCGCGTGATCAAGTGGAAAACTACCTTTATCGGGCGGTGTTGGGGTAAATGTTTTTTGACCAAAGGTCACAGAAGACATTATGTATTAAACCCGACGTTACTCAGACGTAAAAAGTATTCGTTATTGTGTTCACAACATACAGTGTCATAACTACAATTCATATATTATTAAACTGATCAGATACTACGGCACTTCTATCCACAACTATGAGAACAGCTATCCGCAGGTTGGTTAACTGTCCGGTCATGAATGTCATGAATATACTCGGATGTTTGAAAGCTCTCACTTAAAGAACGTAAATTTGGTTCTATGGAAGAAATTAATTCATTTTTAATTGTAATAAATGATGCGGGAATTCTAGCAGACCACGCATTATATCATGGTTAAATATTGAAAATTTTGCCAAGTTACGTATGACATATTGGTAGCATTTCAAGATGGAAATAGGAGAACATGCCTGTGTCACGTGCGTTTGTATACGAGCTTGTTCGTAGTGTAAATATGGAAGACGAAGTGGAGTATTACGAAGGTTGCGGGCTTGACGGTCCGTTAAGATGCATATTTTTGTGTGAATTTCATCCAACAGCGGGACCAAAAATAACGTGCCAGGTATGGCCAAAAGTGAAGTATACATTTTTATTACTATTGTTGTTGTTTTAGAAAGCTTATTCGTGATCATCAGAATTTGTAGGGAATTGTTATTCCCTATCAGTTTTATTTTTATCTAAGCATATAGAGCGTGCAGTGTGTATATGATCCCTCAAGACATGCAGCAGTAGTTATTGTCAAGCCAGTTTAGGAGCCACTATAAGAAAAGAAGCCCTACTTTAGAAGTCTCAATGTGCATTTACATATTTTTAGGTTCCTGATAACTACATATCAAAAGAAATATTCGATGCTGTGAGTGTGTATATCATTCCAAAAGCGCAGCTTCAGAGAAGTATCCTGACAGTGTAAGTATTGAAAAATAAGGACATAGTCAGAATCTTAATGAGATAATTTTTACTCCTTGACAGGGAGACAGTTATAAAAGATTGTATTTTTGACATACATATATGTATAAAACACAACATGTAGAACAAAAGTATGACAGTCTTGGGTTATTTAAAGACACAGCTTCAAGTGCATAGGTTATACAGGTGAAATGAAATGAGTACATACATACATACATACATACATATATTTCACCTATCAGACATCCAAAATACAATGTACATGGAACTGGTCACAAGCATAACACAAACAAACAAACAAGCAAACCAGAAAGAGAATACAAAGCTAAACAAACATTGGAACTAATTATTTACTGTATGCTCCAAAAATTGAACTGTATAAAGTGAGTTATTAATGAGATGAAAATAAAATATTTTTAAAACTGATTCTGTCCTCTCTAAGACTTTGAATGGTACACAGAATTACTGGATTTTTGGACTTTTTCCATTGTCCGGAATTCTAGGTAATAGAGGACACTCTAGGTAATAATGGATACGATGTTTTGGAAACTGGATCTGTTTCCGTCTTCAGGTAAGAAGACTGAAACAGATCCAGTTTTCGAAATGTCTCTTCCTCTATTACTTAGAGTGTCCTCTATTACGTAGAATTCCGGCTGATGGAGAAAGTCCAAAAACCCAGTAATTCTGTGTGTCATCCACCATCATGAGAACCATTTAGAATCTACTTTGAATGGTCTTTGGCAATCTATTAAATAACCTTATACCAGTAAGCATAGTGCCCTTCTGGAAAAAGGAAAGATTTGAAGTTGGAATATAACTTTGATTTTTACTTCTAGTATTCAGGCCATGAACCTCTGAACATGAGCAGAAATTATTTTGATTATCTATCACAAACAACATAAAAGAAAAAATATATTCGCATGACAATGGTAAAATATCTAATTTCTTAAAAAGATTTCTACATGAGTCTCTGGGTCCCACTCCCAATATGATCCTTATTACTTTCTTTTGTAATTTAAGAACTCTAGAATTATTAGTCGAATTGCCCCAAAGGACTATTCCATACTTAATGACAGAATGAAAGTAAGAAAAATATGCCATTCGTAGGGTTGTTAAATTCATAAAATAAGATAAACTACTAATTACAAAAATAACAGAACTGAGTTTAGGAAGGATGTATTCACACGACTCTTCCAATTTAATTTATTATCAATTTGTATACCCAAAAGTTTTATTACAGTGACTCCATTGATTACCAAGTTTCCAAAGGATACTGCCAGAAAAGAGTTGGTGGACTGTTTAGGAGCAAAATTAATAATATTAGTTTTGTTAATATTGTAACGTGTTTTGTCTACTAAAGACATCGTTCAGATTGTTAATTGGTTCATTTAACAGCGTACCAATCGTAACTACAATTAATTATGACACTGTTACTGGTTTACACACTTTACAAACCCTACTCACTAATCTCTTCACTCTCCTCAGTAGGCTTCACTTATTTGCAGTACAACACTGGAGCTATACAAGTGTCACTGAATTACACACTCCCAGTAGAGCTGTACTCCAGCACACACAGAGTCTTGAAGTCGCACAATAAGTCTTCACTGGCTGACTTCTCAGTTATTTCACACTATCACTGATTACCACGTGTTTGGTTCTTCCTGCGACTGTTATACTTCAACTGCTTTCTGTCTGGCTTCACAATCCACACTGTCTCACACGCCACTCAGCCGGCCTCTTATACTGTCTTCTGTCTGGCTTCACAATCCACACTGTCTCACATGCCGCTCAGCCGGCCTCTTATACTGTTCCCTGTTGCCATGTAGTAACCGCGGTGTCCCCTGTTATGTCACTGTGGGAAGTGCTGTTACATCACTGCAGGGAGGGGGGCAGAGTGTTTACTGGCCCTGTTACCATAGCAGCAGCAATGGCTCCTATGCGGTTACGTCACTGTGACAATGGTTGCCTAACACAGCTGCTCTGCTGTTATGTCACCGCGGGGGCGTTTTCACCAAGTATTGCGTAATGATGGAAGGAGTGGGGGTATGTGACGTCACTCACGAGAACGCAGAGTTCACGTGACCCCTACTTCCTGTCACGACATCCATGTCACAATATTCAAGGCCAACTTGTTCACTATAAACCAGTTTACACTGAGAGACAGGGTATCCGCAACTTTGTGCACAATGATTTTCTCCAGTGACCAAAATACTGGTGTCATCCAGAAAGAGAAAAACATTGACAAGTCATTAATATGAATAATAAACAGAAGTGGTCCTAAGACTGACCCCTGAGGAACTCCTTAACTCTTTTCCATTTGGAGAAATAATCATGGTCATCGTCAATTCTGAGATGCACTCTTTGTTCTCTATCTGATAGATAGGATTTAAATCAATTTAAATTACAATCCTGAACACCATAGTACTCTAATTTGGATGTCAGTATCTCATAATTAACATAATCAAATGCCTTGGCAAGGTCACAAAAAATCCCAAGAAGTTTATCATTCCAGGCTTGAAGTATGTCAGTGGTAAGTGAAAAAGCAGCATGATCAGTTGGTAAGTCTTTCCTGAAACCAAATTGTTCCTGCACCAATATATTATTCACTTGTAGATGCTGATTTAATCTATGATACATAGTGTTTTCTAAAGCTTTACTAAATACAGTCAACATAGAAATAGGTCTATAGTTTACTATGTCAGCTTTATCACCTTTTTTCTACAAAGGTTTTATGACTGCATACTTCAAATGATCAGGAAATGCGCCAGTCATAATAGACATGTTTGCAAATATAAGAAAAAGGCTCACTTGTAGCCATGCTACACTATTTTAATATTTTTGACGTGATGCCATCATAGCCAGAAGACTTCTTTGATTTTAGGGAACAAATTATACTAATAATTTCTCCTTTAGTTACAAGAATTACTTTCATACTCAGAAAAACAGTCTGATAAGCATTCTTTAATGATCCAAGAGGTGACTTACTATTATCAATATGTGTTTGTAAATTATCTGCTATATTCAGAAAATACGCATGAAAACATCAGCTGCATCTTTAAACCGAAAATTTATATTATCCATTTTAAATGAAGAAGGCATGTGATTTGATCTAGTAGACTTATGAAATATATTTCTTATGATATTCCAAGAAGTTTTTATTTTGTTATTAGAAGTTTCACTTAACTTATTATAATGTAGTTTTTTGCTTGGCAAATTACTTTTCTTAAAATGAGACAATACTTATTTTTATATAAAGTTTTATATTTGGATCATTACTATGCCTGCTAACATTATATAAAACCCTTTTACGTTGACAAGATATTGTAACGTGTTTCGTTACTGAATACGCCGTAGAGATGGTTAATTGGTTTATTTAACAATCTACAAATAACGGCTACAATTAATTATCACAATGTTATGGGTTTCCACACTTTACAAACCCTACAACAAAATCTCTTAACACTCTCTTCAAGAGTCTTCACGTATTAATAACGCGGGAGCTATACAAATCTCCCTGAATTACACACTCCAAGTATAACTGTACTACAGCACTCGCTAAGTCTCGAAAGCACACAATAAGTCTTCCGCTCGCTGACTTCTTAGTTATCGCACACTCGCAGGCTGCTACCTTGAGAACTGTTGATAACACACTCGGCGACTGTCACATTACAACTGACTGGTAGCTGCTGTGCAGTTCCCTTATATAGCCGCAGTGGTGCCTGTTGCCACGTCACAGTAGGAAGCGGTGATGCGTCCGTGTTTGCGTATATCCTAGCAACGCTGTTACCCCTTGGTGACGTCACCGCTGTTGACTCGCGTTGCATAGCGACGAGGTTGCGGGGACTCGGCTAACGTCGGCTCCGCTCGGCTCACTTCGGCTCCGCTCGTGACGTCACCGCGGGGAGAGTTGCGGGGTGATTACTCGCCTATTACACGAGCGCTACGTTACCGCTACGTGCAGCTGGGGAGGTAGGGGTCAACATGTCACAATATTTTAATGCCAGTAGTAATCCAATTTTTTGTCAGTGTTGTTACTTAAGTAAATAATAGGAAAACTTGCATCATAAATGTTTAAAAATGTTTATAAAAACTTGTTAAAAGCACTGTTAACATCAGTATTATGATAAACTTCTTCACATATTTCATTAGATAACTGTTCAGAAAAATAATTAATAGTTTCACAAGTAATTAATCTAGATTTCAATTTATTTCTTAGTTTATTATTGATTTTATTAACAGTAACAAAAAAATTATCGAGTATAAGACGCTGTGCATCATGATCAGACAGTGCATTGGATAAAGGAAATAATATACGTACAAGAAGATAATCTTGATTCATCTACAACGATATTATCAACAGCTGAGGCATGATTATTTTGTAATCTAATGGGAAAATTAACAGTATGTATCATATTGTAAGTACTTAATAAAACCGACAAGTGCTGTTTCCGATTATTGTTTAGCAAATAGTCAGCATTAAAAGCTCCACACACCAAAAACTCAATAGTTGGTTTGTACAAGAATAATAAAACTTTTTCCAACAGTTCCAAGAATTGAGAAAAATCTCCTCCAGATCTGTATAAACATACTACAATTAACTCTCAGCCATTGAATTCAAATTTAACAGTACATATTTCTAAATTTTTTTCCACTGAAAAATTTAATAAATCAACTTGTCTAAAACAGATATCCTCGCGAACAAATATACTTGTAGATACACCACCGTTTTGAAACCTACATCTAGAAAAACAAGACTGTAATAGATAATTTTCAATATTTACAAGACTCAGTGAATAGTAAGACTGTGAGGATTTGCCAGGAGGTGGTCATTCCTTGCTTCAATACGCTTTCCCAGCATTCTCCTAGAGAGATTGGGCAAAACCTTGAAAAGCCTCAGTCAGGATAGTCAGTAATGTGTGCAGGAACTGATCTGATACTTTCAAAATAAAATTTTAGAGTGATACTGTTGCACTTATCTGCTTCATAATTTAATTTGCTAGTGGGGCGTAGAGTCCAGCTGGGTCCACTCTGCACGGCGGCCAGTGATTGGCCTATTGTACATGCCCCAGGTGATTATTTATGATGGTGGAAAATTTGGTGGAATGAAGATTAGCAGGGGAAACTGAAGTACTTGGAGAAAACCTGCCCCACCGCCACTTTGTGCACCACAAATCCCACTTTACTAGATCCAGGATTGAACCCGGGCTGCACCGGTGGGAAGCCAGTGACTAACCACTTGAGCTATGGTGCGGTCTGTCCGCTTCATAACTGTTCGCAGATCACACACCAAGAAAGAAGGACATACATTATAATCAACATGATGTTTTGAACAGATAGATGTTATATTGTATTTTTTGTTTGTAGGACTGTTCTTGGATCTAAAATTCTTGGATTTCCTATTCGAATATACAACAAGAAATATGCTCGAAATGCCTTCTACTTTAACCTCTGCTTTGTTTGTGATGCGTGGGCTAGAAGTGTCCAGTATGAACCAGTGGTCAAGAAACTGTCCGACCACTTGGTAAGGCTATACACAGATCTCTTGTATGATTGGAAGGACATTTAGTTGGAATGCTATGATTCCTTTTTTTTATAAAGCTTTAAAGTCTTGTTTTGTAAGAAATTAATACATGTGTATGTGTTTATGAGAACAAATTTCCTCTTATATTTGGAACAAAAGTATTTGAAAGCTTAACATTGTATAAGTTCTCCTGTACTGGTGCTACAACCCTGTATGGGTCTCGGCCTCCTCTATGGTTTCATAACAGTAAAATTTTTCGTGGTGGGGTCATCAGTCCTATGCCCAACCCCCAACCAGTAGGACCAGAGACTACACTTTGCCTGGCCCCTATGCATTCATTTGTCTGGCATGGGTGGCTCTACTGGGAGCTTTTGCTCCCACCAGCATAGCTCTCCGGGTCACTGGAGCATGCAAATCTCTCTATGATAAGGGGGTAGTTGTCGAGGAGGCATAATTTTCTTAGAATGTTTACTATGGTCCTTTGCAATGAGTTCAGCCGATTTATGTTGTTAACAGAATAATATTTTTGTAATTTTCCATATTATTCTCATTGTGTGTGTTGTGTAATGGCAAATACAGTTATAGGTACTTTTTTCATGTTCTTTGCATTAAGTACATAAAATAGACAGAAAATGGAAAAGTTCTATATGTTCTTCCATCCGTATGCATGTTTCTCTTTAATCCACAAAGTGGCAGGTCAAAGGTGAAGCCTAACACATAAAAGAACAAGCATATGGTATAATGTCTGGCCTTGGCTAATTTCTGAACAAATTTTGATTAAGTTTGGTATTGGAGGCCTGTACTAAAAGTAAGTATTCACTTTTGGTCATTGACAGTCTGATACAATCCCTTCATTATTTGAAGCTCAAACTGAAATTATCGTTTTTCAACAGTCTATGATCAGTTGATCATAGACTTGAAAGAATTCTGACGATGGTGTATACTGTACTTCTTTTGGCTTATTTTGGACTTCACCCATCGTCTGGTATATAAGAGACAAAGAGAGTCCAGACAAGAGAGACAAAAGAGTCAAGTGATTAAGACTAGCTCTTTCTAATGGGCCCAACTGAGTAGGTTTATCCTTCCCTATCCACCTGAAGACAGAGACAGATGTAGTCTCTGAAACGTCGTGGTTTTTTTGTCTTTTATATACCAGACGATGGGTGAAGTCCAAAATAAGCCAAAAGAAGTACAACTGATCATATAAATTTTGGTATGCAACAAAATATACACTACATTAGGATCTGCAGTGTGTATTTGAAACTATTTCAGTTAATTGTATATTTAATGGAATACAAGAATAAATAATTTCCCACTGTACCGTACAATAAATGTAGTGTAATTATCTTTGCAACAATAAATTTGTATGTCCAGTAAATGAAAATCAGAGCCGACAAGATAAGCAGAATTTCAAAGAATGTTATTATGTATGTGTGTGTGAAGTACATCATGCCTCTCTTCTCTATAACCGTTCCTTTGCTTTACCCATTTATTTTGTTTTACTAGATTACAATGGAGGTGGAGAAACATTTCCTCTCCAACCCACAGAATGAGAATGCCCCACTGTCATCTATGCTTGGGCAAGTGATGGAAGATCTCAACACGTACAGAATGTGCACTCTCACAGGTTTGTAAAGTAAGGTTATATTGTACTGTATTTACTTATGTACTCCTTATTTTCATGTGCTAAGGAAGAAATTTGGCCCAAGAGATGAAGTCACAAAGAACTAGAGAAAATTACACAATAAAGAGCATGGTAATTAATTTATATGCTGTTTCTGTTGTTAGTGTGATTAAATAAAAAATGTCAAGAGAGGCAGACATGTATTTTCCATTGGGAAACGGAGAAATGAATATCAGATTTGTTTTGAAAACTTCAAAGAAGAGGTATCGGCATATATGAGAAGACAGTGTAAGACTGGATCTTAGAAAAATAGAATATGGAGCAGTGGACTGTAAAGAGAGGCAGAAGTTGGTTAATGTTAATGTTGTGTTTACTATAATGAGATATTTATTTCTCATGAATGATGGTTTCTTTTACAGAAGGAACTACAAAAATACACCTGAAAGTGGTAAAAATCTCTAAGGAACCAAGTCCTGTTCATGATCATCAAGTGCCAATATTCATAGAAGATCAGCACATGTTCCGTTCAGAACAGTGGGACCTCACCACTTATCAGGTAACATCAAGCAATTTGACTTCAGTGGTAATGCTTCTAATTTGTATTTGGAATGTGACTGCTTCAGATCTCAGCTATACTGATTGAACTTTCCATGGTTTCCTGCATTTCTTTCCTGGTAAATGCTGGGATTGTACTTGTAATTAGGTCATGACTGCTTCCATCTGGTTTGTTATTCAATAATCATCTTATAATTTGATACTTTGTAGCCTGACTGACTGGCAGCATCATTAAATAAACAAGCAAGGATCAAATTTAGTGTTTCAGAGTTAATCAATGTTATGGAAGAAGCTAACTACAAATCTTATACACTGTGTTCACTCAAGGAGGAAACTTCGCAACACCGCTGACCTGGCCCAACATTCCTCACAGATTGTTGCTGTAACTTCCGATAGCAGAATGAGACATTAGTGCTGATAAATGTGTACGGTCAGGTGGCATGATATTGTCACTGCAGTTAAGTCACAGTGATAGTCAGTCTGTGTTAGAGATTTCGATAGGCGGTCGACATTTCTACTGAAATGAAGTACACTATTGAATAGCATGTGTTTATTGTCAAAATTTTTCCAAGGAAAAAACTTACAGAAAATGTATCAGTAAGTTTCATCATAAATATTCTGACATGCCAGTTCCCACAAAGTCGTGTGTATCCAAGCTTGTGAAAAAGTGGCAGGCCACAGGTTCAGTGTGTGACATAAAGAAGCAATCAAAGAGGACTGCTGGCTGAAGAAAAAGTTTGGGATATTTTGGCATGACTACAGATCAGTCCTCAAAAATTGTTAAGACGCTTAGTACAGAAAACCAGTGTTTTGCTAGGATCTGCTTTCACAGCCACAAAATTAATTAAATTTCTCCCGTATAAAATAACAGAATGAAATAACATGCATAATTAGTTCAATTACCGTGGACCAACTTCAGAAAGTGTCGCATAATTTATTTATGCGATCCAAGGTATGTTTGCAAGCAGAATGGGGTCAATTTCAGCACCTGTTTTAAAGCAGTTATTTCTTTACTGTATTCTTATAATGTGTGCATGTACAGAAACTGATGTGAGGGAATAGTCATGGAGAAATGATCCATCCGCTCTACGCTATTGAGAGTGTGTGCGTTTTATCAGCGCTGATGACTCATTCTGCTATTGGTAGTTACAGCAGCAATCTGTGAGAGATATTTTATCTGACTCACACTGCTCCCCCAGTTTCCTTGATGATTGAACACTCTGTTTTTTGTTAATGAGTGTAATAAGCAGCATACTTATTACAATTCAGAACAACAAATGCAGTAAATTCAGTAGTTTCGTGCCTGAACGTTGGAAACTACACTATTCCAAAATGGATGTTTAACATTCAGATCTCCTGCCAGTATTGACTTACGTGTAAAGCTCAAGAGCTCTGTGATGTCTGCATCATTCTAGGCATGGTCTGGTGACTTACAGACTGTTGCAAGTAGCACTTCACTATTATGAATCAGTATGCAAACCTCTGTGGCTTTTATTGAGACAAGTGGAGGCAGGTCTGCATGGTTGTGGGGAATCAGATAATACCATACTCTGAAGTTTTTGAAATTTGTCATTAAACTTAGTAGCTCTGTAGTGACACCATTGGGCATTTGTCGTCTTTTCTTGTATACAGGGAGGATTTTTACTTTGTGGATTGGTTCCGCAGTTCTGCGCTTCATAGCGACCGGTGCACTGCCGGCTGAAAGGCGCATACAAATTTTGTTGATGAATCAGCATGCTAGATGCCCCATAATGTTCAAAATGAAGTAGTTACAATTCACAGATCAAAGGAGGTGTGGAAGATGCTGTCTCTGTATACGTAGATATCTTTTTCAGTAAATTGTTTCATTAAAAGCACAGATCCAACAGTCCTTGCACTTACAGCACACCAGACACCAACTTTCACTGGATGGAGCAGGACTAGTGGGTTAGATGTGGATTCTGTGAACTCCAGTAGTGATTATTTTGTGTATTTATGTATCCCTGCAATTGAAAGAATGCTTCATCAGAAAAGAATATCAATTGTGGATCAATCTCACCTTTGACAACAGACTGTAGAAACCAATTGCAAAAATGAACACTGCTAGTTGGATCATGTGGCTGCAAGGTGTGTGTGGATTACTGTTGTTTTATAGGGTCTAAACTTCACCATTTGTTTTGCACTAGACTTTGACACTCCAGTCTCTTGAGTTAGACATTTCCATGATTTTCTAGGTGTATGTTTAAGTCTGGCCCCTGTGTCATCTAACTTTTCCTCAGTAAACACTTGGCACTTATGTTTTTGTTTTTTATCTATTAAGGGTCCTGTTGATCTATGTTTATTCACCAAATTATGAATTGTTTGTCTGCTAGGAACTATTTCATCGTGAAATTTATGTCAAAATTTTTGCTGACATTTTCTAGCAGATCTATATTTCACATAGGTGTCATACAGAAATACACGTTGCTCTGAAGTATACTGCATTGTGATGTACCACACTGCTCACTAACTGTAACTAATATATGGCTAATGGAGCTGATAATTGCTGCCTACTGCTGACAAATCATAAACAAACTCCCACACATGAACTGCACTGCTTGCTGTGAAACATAATGCTGTCAAGTGATCCATAAGTTAATTACTTCCTTTGATGCTAAACATTATTGGCCATTAGGCATGCTGATTCTTTGGCAAAATTAATATGTACCATATGGCAAGCAGTGCACTGGTCGCTGTGAAGTGTAGAGCCTTGGAGCTGGTCAACAAAGTTAAAAAACTCTATATATAGGCAAGGACACAAAATTTGAGGACCCCTTGATCACAGCTGATGCCCTTGGTCTGAAACTGGTAAGGTAAAGTTGTCCCTGTGCATATTTAATTAAGCACATGCCATTGAGACATGGTGGAGTGGAGGTATAGGTCCACCATTCTTGACATTGGCACTAGATGGAGGTGAGTCATTAGCTTCATGCCCCAGCAGCTGTACCCCAAGGGAAAGAGCCCCAGTTGAAACTCGGGCAGACAGTATGGAATCTTTGTTCCTGTAATTCACCCTGTCTAGCAAAAACATTGAATACTCTACACAAGATGCATTGTTTTGGCACATTAAAATTGAACTGAAGAATTTTTTTAAGAATCCAAAAAACACTAAGGTATTATTATTATTATTGGAGGGGGTGGGTTTCCCCATGCACCGCGACCAGTTTGATCTATTGTGCATCCCCCTATAATCTTCTACCAGCCTCTATACCCTACCGGTATTGGTGCTTACGATCAGTCCCTACTCAGCCAGTGAGGTCGGCCTCTACTGGCTCAGAGGTATCTCAATGCTTCCCCCATCTACCAGAGGCGTTAGAGACTACTGTTTGACGGGAAATGTCCTTAATTTAGCTCAGTGGCCTCCTTTGGAGACATGAGGTTCTTTTACGTGCCGTAAAGCTACGACACGGGACCCACGGCTTAAAGTCCCTCCCGGAGGACTTGTTCCCTGAATTTTTCCTCCCTTAAAAATTCCACGACCTCCGCTGGGTTTGAACCCGCGTACCTTGAGTAACACTAAGGTAAAGAAGTGTGAACTGGTAGCACATCTGGTGCTGGTTCTCTCACACAGTTGGATGACAGAAAATCATGACTGATTGTCACATGTCACTGACGTGAATAAAGGAATGTTATGGAGATAAAGAAGCAGCCAGATACATTTCGTTGTTGGATCACAACCAGTGCATGGGTAGGAATGACCAACTGGTGAACTCATTTGATTGGGAGAAGTAGATGAAGAAATGGTACATGAAACTGTTCTTCAAGCTTCTGAGTACCATTACAGTATATAGGAAGAGCAGTAGGAAAAGAATTGAGTAGTTATTATTTAGAGTTTAGTTTTTTATTGTAAGATTTGAGGCTTTCATGGCGGTGAAGTTATTGCGGTTATTGCTAGTGGGGTGGGACTAAGTCCCTTGTACTGCAGCCACTTCTGGCCTATTGTACCAGCCCCAGATGATAGGTGAGGGTGACTGTGGAGCAATTGGTGGAATGAAGATTGGCAGGGGAAACCGAAGTACTCAGAGAAAACCTGCCCCAGTGCCAATTTGTCCACCACAAATCCCACTTGACCAGACACGAGATCGAACCCGGGCCGCTGCGGTGGGAAGCCAGTGAATAACCGCTTGAGCTATGGCGCGGCCTAGAGTTTAGTTAGCTGAAGTACTGTGCCTCATATACACATAACTGGACATGTGCATATTTTTCTTTGCATTTACTTCTAGGCCCACTTCCTTACTAGGGTTTCTGTGCTTTTCTTTTTGGTATTTTTATTTTCAGTCTGTATATTAACATAATCAACATAGATGATAATGTAATGTGCCCTATTTGATTTCAATCTCCTTTATCTTGGACCTTTCTAATGACATATTCTTAAGCAAAGTTAAAGAGCAGTGGCATCCCCTTGTTTCAAAGCATTATGGACAGGAAATGTATGAGATAAATGCTTACCTATACAGACTTTACTCTAGGTTTAATTTAAATACATTTTCATTAACCTAACTAGTTTCATGGGTATACCAGCATCAGTGGCTATCCTACAGTACTTCCCTCGTAGATGAACCATAGCTTTGCTTGAAGTCTATAATGTAAATAATATTTTATTCTAAATTATGGTGACTTTTGAAAATAAATAATTTTGATTATTAAAGATTACTGTCTTCTGGGAGTTAATGCCATGTAGTTGGGTAGATGAGTATGTGTGTGTCAATGCGTCACACCCCAGAAGACTGATCTTTATTGTCACCACTATCAGAATCTCAAATTTCGCAATGTAAATTAGGAATCTTAACTAATAAATTGTTTAAAAATTTATGATTGAAGAGTGATTTGGCCAAACCAGTTAGTTAGTTATTAGAGAGGGTGGGTTTCCCCATGCACTTAGACCT